GTTATGGGCGCAGTCCGGCCTGTCTCCATGCGGCGCCTGGGCGGAGAGGCTGGGGAGCCATCGCTTGTGTTCTCGTTCTTGGGGGTGGGAACAAGGTCACCTGAGCTCGCCGGTCCCGCTGCGGGAAGGGTCTGGTCTGGCTTTGTCTGGCCTGTTGGGATGTAGCGGGGCGGAGGAGGCCGCTTAAGGGAAGCATCTGCCTCAGTCCTTTTTTTAGCGATATTGCCTTATTTAAAAAAACACTTGTCTTCCCTGTAAGTTCGCTTGTGTTCTCGTTCTTGGGGGTGGGAACAAGGTCACCTGAGCTCGCCGGTCCCGCTGCGGGAAGGGTCTGGTCTGGCTTTGTCTGGCCTGTTGGGATGTAGCGGGGCGGAGGAGGCCGCTTAAGGGAAGCATCTGCCTCAGTCCTTTTTTTAGCGATATTGCCTTATTTAAAAAAACACTTGTCTTCCCTGTAAGTCATCCATAGTCTCAGAGGGCCGCCCCCTGCTTAGCGTGGAAGGGAGCAGAGTAAGGATGTTAAGTAGCATGTAATTGACTAATCAAATAGTTGATGCACTTTGGATGCGCTTTTGCACTATTCGATTAGTACTGCATGAAGCCTTTCAAAGGGGCTGCACTTCATGGAGCCCGGGGTTATCTGGGGAATCCCCAGCTGATCCTGGTCTTTGTGCTGCACTTCCCCTTTGAAAGGCTGCACAAGGCATTTCAAAGGGGCAGTGCTCCGTACGGCATTGCTGATTTGAATTACCCCATCTTCTCTCCCCCCCCCCCCCCCCCCCCCCACACACCCCCCTTCCTGCCTCTCTGATACAGGCAGCAAGGGAGGGAAACGACTAGTCAGCTATCCTGTTGACTATCTGATAAGCATTTAACTAGTTGACTAGTCCTTAACATCCCTAGAGCAGAGCACTGATCTCCACAGAGATAGGTGTTGTCTTGATCTGTGTAGTCACCCATACTCTTCATATGAGTACAGCCCTGTGTGGATATAAACATGTGGATCCACATCTGACCAACATTGACTAGAAACAATGTGTATCTGATCTGCATCGGTCAACAGCAGCAAACCATCTCTCAGCGCTTGCTCTGAAGAGGCGCATCTGGGTGTATGTGTGGCCTATGGCTTAATAAAATGGGCACACCAACCATATTATTGTAAACATCAATCTGAATTTTATAACCGTCATCATTAGAACAAATATTTGGAGCGGCGTTGGAATGCTCCTGCTGAGGAGTGTGGCTGGGGCAAGAGTGCTTATCCTGTTCTGCCCTGTCAGGTGCTCCTTACAGGGAGTGGGACAAGCACCTGTACCCCAGCCAAGTTTCTTGTCAAGAGCGCCCCAACCCCACTCTCCAATAAGCTCTGAGGGCACCCTTCTCCCCATCAGTGCTGTTACTCCTCACTTTCACAAGGAGTATGGAAAGTCAATAAGTGTGTTTCACCCATGGACTTCCTGCTGTGGGAATGGCACCAAAGTTCAGCTTAATGTACGTCAACTCCAGCTATGTTGTTTATGTAGCTGGGATTGCGTACCTTAAACCAACTTTCTGTACTATAGACTTGACCTTAATTCTTCACTCATTCTTCACCTTAAAATTAGATAACATAAACACTTCTGTACTACCACTGTATGCAGTTTAACTTTCATGTACTTAATGTCATTTTGCTATATTTAGATATGTTTTCTATCAGTCTAGATTCCTGTCCCATCCCTAACCCTCATTGTTATTGTTTAAATGAGAAAACACAGATTTCATGGTATTTACCCTTTCTGTCTGCAAGCAGGTACATCCTGTTACATGAAGTTAATCACACCCTAAGAGGGGAAATTTTATGTGACCATCCTCAAATATTGACACTGAAAACGTTGAATTGATTAGGATTTTTTTGTGTAGGAATTAAGTAGTTAAGTGTGGAAGATCAAAATTGATCACGTTAACATTTATATATGCAGCCTGTTGGAAAGACAGCACTTTATTTTAATTGAAAACTTTTGCACAAATACAGTTTTTAAAAAATCACAAATATCTTGATTAAATATTAACTTTGATTTTAAAAAGTTGAAGATTAAAATTTTTTTTCACCTTTGTGTTTCAATTAGGGTAAATGGAAAAACAAAGAGCGGGTGCTTATTTTCTCTTCTAGAGGAATAAATTTCAGAACAAGACATCTAATGCAAGACTTGAGAACATTGATGCCCCACTCTAAAGCAGGTAGGGTCGATAGGTACTGCTTTTATCTAACTCTGTCACTGTTTTTGGCTAGTGTGTTTTAGTAAACTACTGTCTGTTATTGACATTATTCCATTATGCTACACAGAATATCTGTTGGACTCTAAGATTTAGGTTGTCAAGTGATTAAAAAATTAATCATGATCAATCATGATGTTAATAATAGAATATCATTTAAATAGTTTGGATTTTTTTACATTTTTAAATATATTTATTTCTGTAATAACACAGAATACAACGTGTATAGTGCTCATTTTATATTTTTGATTAAAAATATTTTCAATTCACCTAATACGACTACTGCAGTACGTTCTCTTTATCATGAAAGTTGAACTTACAAGTATAGAATTACATGCAAAAACCCCTGCATTCAAAAATAAAACAATAAAGTCTGCTCAATCCCAATTCTTTTCCAGCCACTTGCTAAGAGAAACAAGTTTGTTTACATTTATATGAGAGTTTGCTGCCTGCTTATTTACAATTTCACCTAAATGTAAGAATAAACTGTAACGTGGCATTGTTGTAGCTGGCATTGTTAGATACTAATGTGCCAGATACGCTAGAGATTCATGTCTCTTTATGCTTCGACTATCATTCCAGAAGACATGCATGCATGCTGATGATTCTGTTTGATAACTTTCCAAGAAGTGCAAAGTGATGCATCTTCATTTTCATCATCTCATTTAGATGCAGGAGGTTGATTTTCTATTTTGGTGACTTGTGTTCTGTAGTTTCTGTAGAATGTTGCTTTTTTAAAGACTTATGAAAGCATGCTCCACATCTCATCTCTCTTAGATTTTAAAATGCACTTCAGATTCTTAAACCTTGGGTCAGGTGCTGTAGCTGTCTTTAGAAATCTCACATTGGTACCTTTTTGCATTAACACTTTTTTAACATGGAAGCATGTTCTCTGGAATAATGGCCAAATCATGAAGGGGTATACAAATGTTTTAGTGTATCTAGTACACTAGAAGATTTGCCCAGGTTCTTCAGGGCAGGGGGCTGGCTGTGTGGGGGGGTACAGAAGTCCAGGCAGAGCCTTGGGTATATGGAATCAGGGCAGGGGGTTGGGAGGAGGGCTTAGAGTAGGGGGCTGGGATGCTTTTTAGCTTGTCCCCAGGCGTGGTGGGGGCCATTCAGCCCACCTACCAACTTGTCCCCAGGGAAGGGGACATCCTGCCCTCCAGCTTCTCCAGACCAGGGGCAGAGTGGAGAGCCACACAGGACAGCTGGGGGATGGGGCAGGCTATGGCTTCTGGGGTGGAAGAGGCGGGGTTCCAGGCTGGCAGGATTTTTCCCCCTCCCTTCCTGTCCAGCAGGGCTTTCTCCCCCTGCTCTGGTGCTATGGCCAAGGGCTTCAGGGGAGGGAAGAGTTTGGGGCAGAGGGGCCACTTAACTGGCCTAGTAGCCATTGAGAGAGCCAGCCCCAGCTAGCTGCTCTCTTGGGCTATATCTACATTACAGTGATCTATCGGAAAATGGTATGCAAATTGCACTCCGTTTACAATGGGCCAAATTTCGGAAAAGCCTCCTCTTGCGGAAGAGCCCTTCTTTCTTGTGGGAGATGTAGATTCCACTACCTCCCTAGGCAACTTATTCTAGTATTTAACCACCCTGACAGTTAGGAAGTTTTTCCTAATGTCCAACCTAAACCTCCCTTGCTGCAGTTGAAGCCCATTGCTTCTTGTCCTATCCTCAGAGGCCAAGGAGAACAATTTTTCTCTCTCCTCCTTGTGACACCCTTTTAGATACCTGGGCTTATTGGTTAATCCTAATGACTACGCATGCTCTCCCTGCCCCTTGCTGCCTCTGTATCAAAGACAACAAGGGAGGAAGAGGGGGGAGCCATTGTGTCCCTCCCACCCCTGTGCTAGGATCCTACAGAGCCTCCTGCCCTTGTGCTCCTTCCTTTATATCAGAGGCAGCTGGGGGGAGAGGGGACGCTCAGGTGGAATGGCAGGACCCCTTCCTTGCTCCTGGTGCTGGCTCTGCAGTTCCCATTGGCCAGGAACCATGTCAGTGGAGCTCTGGGGGTAGCATCTATACACATATGTAGTATACAAAGCATCCTAGTTGTACTTCTGTCAGGAGCAGTAGGGACAGGTTGCTGCTTGCAGGGAGCGACCGGGGGTGCTCACCTCTGGTGGCTCCCTGGATCTGGCACTCTGAAATCCCTCCCTAACCCCTCGCCGCTTTCTCTCCGCACCGCCGATTCCCCATACTGCCTCTGCTCTCCTGTACTCCAGGCCCCCTGCTCTTCCTCTTCCCTGCGACTCTCTGGTTCTATGCTGCCTTTGCACTCTGCTCCCTCCGATCTCTGCCCCCCCCCCGTTCCCTACGTCCCATTCCTCGTGCCTCCACCACACCCCACACTCTGTGTCCCTCTGGCTCTGTGCCTCCCATTCCCCACGCCCCCCTTGTACTCCCCCTCCACTGTTCCCTGCACCCCTCTGGCTCAGTGCTGTCCCTGAACCCTGTTTCCCCTGTGGGTCGGGAGTGAGGGGTGCCTGTCCATAGGGAGGGGCTGGACAGGGCAGGCAAAAGACAGTGAATGAAAGGAGGAGTTCACTTGAAGCACCTTTGCCTTTATGGGAAAAAAAACAAATGAAAATGCTATTTGCTATTTATAGGGCTAAAATGCTGGGACAAAAATGAAAACAAACAAAAAAAACCATTGCAAAATGCAAACGTGTAAAAGACAACAAAAAGGGGGGCGGGGCGGCCAAAAATGTTTTGCTTGGGGCAGCAAAAAGCTTAAGAGGGGAAGGGGCTGGGCTGGGCTGGACTGTGGAGAGGGGAGGGGAAAAATATGGGGAAGGAGCTTGTGCTAAGGGGAGGGGAGAGGAGTAGGTCAGGAGAAGAAGAAGAAAGGGGAAGGCACCAAGGGACAGGGGTGCAGGAGAGACAAAAGCCAGAGGGCCAAGTGCAGACAATGAGGTAAATGGCAGGAGGTGAGGTGTCAGTGGGAGGGGAGACAGGGTGATGCTGGGAGAGGAGAGGGTAAGGGCACTGGGGGCTAGAGGGGAAAGGGAGAGGAAGGAAGGGGTGGGCATGAGGAAGGTGGGGATGGAGCAAGTCATGTGTGATGGCACAGGGGCATGAGGGGAATGGGGGCAGACGGTGGTGAGGGGTTGGGCATCAGGGAAAAAGAGAACAAAGGGGGCAGGGGCAGTGAGGGAAAGGGGGGGCATCAGGAGGGTGCAGGTGCCAGGTGATTCTGGGGGTTAAGCAGAAGGGCAGACACCTGCAGGGGAGGGACCAGCACCAGAGGAGAGAGGCAGGGCAGGTGTGTAGAGGGAGGTTTAGGAGAGGGAATGAGGAGGGATAGCTCACATGATCAGAGTAGGGCTACTGGAGGAGTGGGCACAAGGTGGGAGGGGGGCAGGTCTCAGGAAGGCTGAGGGCAGTGAGAAGGGCAGGAGTCAGGATAGCAGGAGAGGGTGAGGGGTTGGGGGGCAGCAGGCACCAGGGGAGCTGATGGAGCAAGGGGAGGAGAAATGGCAGCAGAGAGAAAAGGTAGAGGTTTATGAGATATGTATTAATAACTTGGGTGATGTTTATTAATAACATATTCGTAATTACTGTTCTTATTCTTATTAGGAATTTATGCTATTAAAAAAACACTTTTTTGGGGGGCAGGGGGTGGCGAGTCCCTTTTTTGTCTGGTGAGTAGGGTTTTCCAGAATTTGTCAAGCCCTGAACATCACTAATAGCAACCCATTTAATGAGTAAAATGTGAAAAAATATTAACACTGATGCTGAAAATGAGTTGTATGCAAACTACTGAGAAACACAAACACTGAGGAAATGCTTAGTCATTCTGTAGTAATAATAGGTGAAATGTTTTAAGAAAAGCATTTTCTTTCTTTTTTTAAAAAAAAATTGCTGGTGTCCCTTTGAAGTACAGTCAGTCCCTGGGTTACGTACAAGATCGGGACTGTACGTTTGTTCTTAAGTTGAATTTGTATGTAAGTCGGAACTGGTACATATTGTAGGGGAAACTCTAGCCAAACATTTCTCCAGAGCTCAGTTTTATTCTCCCACACCTCACTTCCCTCAGTCCTTTATTCTGAAGCTGAGGTGTCTGCTGAGAAAAGCCGCTCCGCGTCTCCCGGGTCTGCTTGGGGGGGGCGCTAGCTTCGCATCTCCCTGGTCTGCTGGGGGGAAGCAGCTAGTGCGGGGTTGCCTCACCCCGTTTGTAAGTAGGGATCCGATGTAAGTCGGATCCATGTAACCCGGGGACTGCCTGTATACTAAAGCATACACAACTGCTCAGTGGTACTTTTTTCTTTGTTTCCAGACACTAAAATGGACCGGAAGGACAAACTGTTTGTAATTAATGAGGTAATGCTATGACTAAACTAATATTTGTATTTTGGCTTTTTGGAAATTGTTTGTGAGAAGGAGACAGAGAGGTGATGTTGAAATTTAAGAGAATTTTAGGGTTTTTTTTTTTTTTTTAATGAAGCACAAAGACTCCAAAGGCCCACTCTTTGAATTACTAGCTAAACCACAGGAAGTAATTAGTTGTTCTTTTGGATGGGAAATAAGTTAATTCACTTTCCTATATTTAATTCTGACTTGTTGAAACCAAGACTAGTAAGTTAAATATTGATGTAATCTTTCATTAATTTTACTTTTGTTACACATGAATCAATAGACTCAAGAACCTTGTCTTGAAAGCACTCTGTGTGTAGAACTCACTGAAATTAGTGGAAGTTCTGTGCACAACAGACTTGCAAGATAGAGCCCTATGGTGGCATATCAGTATCTTGGGTTTAAATACACCATTCAAAAATTTTGAATAAAAAAACCTGCAGGTTGAAAACAAACAGGAAAAGGGCTGATGGAAAGAGGCTAAAGATACAAACATTGTGGTTTATTTTTGTCAAGAACATTTGTAATTATCTTAATATTTAATTGGGATGAGTGGCTTTGGGTTTTTTTGGGTCAAGGGTGAGGGGGGCTATAAAGAGTAAGAGTGCAAGTGGCTCTATTTCATGAATTGAAGTAACTGGCATTATGAATGGATCCGTGGTGAAAATGAAGCAGAGAGAGCGAAATCAAAGCCGTTTAGACTTCCCACAGAAAAGATGAGCTGATAAGAGAGGCTGAAAGGTGCTAGAGACTACAAATGCCTGTGGCTTTTGTGATGGACTAAAGACTTCTGGGAGCAAGTGCCTTTTGAATTGTTACCCCTGCGAACGAACTGTTATTTTTTTTATCACCCTGCAATCTACCAATGAGATGTGCTTTACAAAAGAATGTGGTGTTTCCCCATTTAACATTGGGAAAACTAAGGCACAAATCTGCTTGAAGAAAGCCACACAGTGGCCAGTGGCAAAGCTGGGTCTAGACCCCAGGTGCCCTGACAGTCTAATACCCTATTCACTGGAGTGCTGGTAGTTGGTAGATTTCTGGGACTGAAAAAGAAAATATAAAGGTCTTTCAAAGTTAAAACTGACCTCTCTGAAGGCTTTCAGTATTAATAATTAATGCAAGACTTTTTGCATATTTTCACTTCAGGACAGAAATGCTTGAGGCAGATTGAGGAGGTTTGTGAAAAGATCCATTTAACTGTTTAAATAGCTAATTTTCCATATGCCTTCTTTCTATATAGATTTGTGAAATAAAAAACTGCAACAAGTGCATATTTTTTGAAGCCAAAAAGAAGCAGGATCTCTACGTGTGGTGAGAAAATATATTGCTTTATTAAATCTCCCTCTTTAATCATACTTGTTTGTGTTCTGACTACAACTCTAGATAAAACATTGTACAGTTTGGAGATTAACATCTTTAGTGATCAACGTATTTCAAGAGTGACATTTTTTTAAAAGCACACTTAAAACTTGTTGATATGGCAATGTTTACTTGCTTTTCCTCTGGCTGTTTCTTACCAGAAGAAAAATATTTCATTGTTTTTTGTGCAGTTTAAGTGTAATGATTTTTAAAAAATACATTCATATTTGAATTAGGGATGTTAGAGTTGAACTGGTTAACCGTTTAACTGATAAGCTACTGCTTATTGGTTAATGGTATCAGTTAAATTCAGCCAGCTCCTGAGGAGGTGGCTTCACTATGGCAACACAGAAAAGCTTCCTCTTTGGGAGCTGGGCTGGCAAGAGCTGCCTCCTTGCTCCCAGGAAGGTGGCTTGGCTGTGATAGGGAAGCCTCCTCCCTGGAAGCTGGGTGAGCAGGGGCTGGTGACCCTGTTCCTAGGGAGGTGGCTTCGCTGTGGGCTCTGCAGTATAAAGCTAAGCTAAACTTTATATTGCAAAACCTGCACCAGGTATAACCTATTACACAATTTTTAACATCCTTAATTTGGATATTTTGTGACTGCTTCAGGTACATTCAGTCTGCCAGACCAAACTTCCCATAGAATACTTCAGATCTTGGCAGCAATGGCAACAGTAAATGAGGCTGGCTTTAATTGCAATAATAATAAATAGCAAAATAAGTGTAAATTAAACATTCGTTTCTATGACTCATCATTTGAGAGCTGATGATTCTATAAGCAATTTTTAATTAAAATATCTAAAGTTAACTATCATTATACAGGAGCCCATTTTAAAACTATTATGGTACAAAGTCTGGTTGAAATTTACTGTAGTATTCTAAAGTATTTTTCTTGCCATTTCTAATGGATGTCTTGTTTCAGGTTTTCAAATTCACCTCAAGGACCATCAGCCAAGTTTTTAGTACAGAACAGTAAGTCTAACTCTGATTGTTACTTCTGTTGCTTTTATTTATGTTTCTGTAGAAGAGTCTCTTTTAAAAACTAAAACTGTGTTTAAAATCATTTGTAGTTCATACCCTGGCAGAGCTGAAGATGACTGGAAACTGCCTAAGAGGCTCAAGGCCTCTTCTGTCCTTTGATCCGGCAAGTATAGAACTTCAGATTGCTTGATCTATGGTATCTCTAATCCTTTTTTTTTTTTTTTTTGTGCTGCTGTTGCCTTCTGCAGCCTTCTGCATGTTCCTAAAATTATGTATTTCTTTTCCAGGTGTTTGATCAGGAGCCACACTATGCTCTATTAAAAGAGTTGTTTACTCAGGTCAGCATGTGCCAACTTTGTTTTGGGATTTCTTGCATCTTACAAACTACCTTTATGCTAATATTTCAGGTGTAAAACATAATGCAGGTTGCTTGTGTGTAGGGATGTTAAATTGTGAGTAATTGAGTGCATTTTGCATTAACTATTCGACTAGTCGATAGGGCGTCTCCGCCTTTGAAGTATAGAAATAGCTGTAGCGCTTTTGCTACACTTTAAAAGTGAAAGCGCTGTGTGGAGCTCAGTGTCAGCTGGGGAGCTGATCTCGGGCTCCACGCGGCGCTGTCACTTTGAAATGCTGCATGCAGTCTGGGTACACACCAGCTGGCCCCGGGGCTGCATACAGCATTTCAAAGCAGCAGCGCCACATAGAGCCTACGGTCTGACCCCAGGCTCCATGCTGCTCAGCCACTGTGAAGTACCCCCTATTCACTGCCTCTTTCTGATAGAGGCAGCAAAGAGGGGGCGAAGCGACTAGCTTGTCAACTAGACCTTCACATCACTACTTGTGTGTATCTTTTGACTTAGACCCTAATTGTTCAAAGACTAACGTGCTTGAAGTCAATGGGACCAATCACAAATATAAGTCTATGCAGAGTTGAGACATTAAGTAGTAAAATAAGATGAATTCAAAGGCAATTACACTTTACATTTTGAACTATTGATCATTTTAGATGAAAACTTGTTTTTGCCTTCTGTTATAGATTTTTAGTACACCACAATACCATCCCAAAAGCCAGCCTTTCGTAGATCATGTATTCACATTCTCTATCACAGACAACAGGATTTGGTTTCGGAACTATCAGGTTAGTTTTTTTTACCCATGACTTTTTAAAAAATTGCACTAAATGTATTATTTCATATGAAATCAAAGAATTATAGTAAATCGAAAGGAAACCATTACCAATTACAAGCATATGCTGTCATCCACCAGTTACACAAAAAGTATTTCCAAGTGTTTTATAGTGGACTAAAACTACCTTTCCACACACTTAACATAAATGAATTGCATTAGATTTTGGGGGCTGAATACCTGTAGATCCATGGGAGTAAAATGAGTAAAGAATAATGGGTATGCATAAGTCTGATACAGAAATCTCAAGTGATTTTTCTATAAAATCTATTTGTCTCAGATCATAGAAGAAGATGCAGCTCTTGTAGAAATTGGACCTCGTTTTGTCTTAAATCTCATAAAGATTTTCCAGGGCAGCTTTGGCGGACCAACTCTGTATGAGAATCCACATTACCAGTCTCCAAACATGGTAACAGTCTTGCCTTTGGTTTTGCTTTCATTTAAAAAATTCATTTAAGCCTTGATTTTGCAAGCTGGTCTCTCAGTGAACCGTGTGCCTAAAAGAAAAGTGAGCAGGATCAGTGGTCTCAATGTGGCAATATGCTTAATAGGTTATAATTTTAGGGTAAAATAATCACCAGCATGTGAACTGAGCAGATTTATGAAACTAGTAATACTGAGTTGTTTAATCTCTCAATGAGAAGACAACAGTATTTTGAGGAATGTGTCAGTTGGAGGTTGATTTTTTTTTTTAAAAGATAACGTTTGAAAGATAAGTGGAGAGCATTTTGTCTCCGCCTGTATTATAGAAGGTTTGATATGAATTTTTAGAACCATCACTTTTTTAAGATACGTTTTTGTGTCCCTTGCTTCTCAGTGCAACTGCATTAACATACTTATCTTTTTATAGCATCGGCGGTTGACAAGATTGGCTGTAGCTGCTAGATTTAGGGAAAAACAGCAAATGAAAAACCTACAGAAACTAAGGAAAAAAGAAGAAAAGACAGTTATTCCAGTCGATCCTACTGAAAATGTCTTTGAAACTCCATCAGAAGAAAAGCCATTGGAAATTGAGTTGGTTAAACCAGAGCTAAAAGTAAATTTGAAAAAGAGAAAGAAATTATTTCAAAGACAAAGGAAGGGGCAAAAAAAACTTTCCAGGGTGGGAGTGTAAAGTGTTTTAAATAGGAAAAAAATAAGCAAACTTCAAAAAGTCATCCTAGTCTGTATGCTTATGTCTTTAGCTATAATAGCTCTTTTTTTTTTTAAGCCAGCACCTGCTTGCCACCAACTTTGAGTACATGAAAAATCAGATTTTTGTTCTGCTCTAGGACTCAACTTGTCTCAAACTGTTTGTTTTTTAAATAAAATGTGTTGGTATTTATGTTAATGTCTTCTAAAGAATGCCTCACAAGTCTCTTAGATAAATATGGGACTGTCAGGGGAAAGGGGTTGCACGGCAGTAGCAAGAGGGACATAAGGAAGTTTGACCAAAAATTTATAATTAAAAATTTGTCTTGTATGTTTCAGTAATTCTGGAGATTTTTGGGGGAGCACTACCTATAGGAGTTTGGTGCTTTATCTAGCAATATTTCAGAAGTTTAGCTCCCCAGTCCTGTCTATCAGTGGTCAACTATAAATCTGTATTTATAATTATGTTGTACAGGTACACTTTCACTTTACAGAATGCAACATGCCCTGAGTAGTGGTTCACTCTTTTTTGGACTATTAGCCACACTATTTCATGGCTCTTGGATAAGAGACAGGATCGTGTAATTTTGATGACAGGATGATTCTGTCACTTCAAAGAATAGTGGATCTACAAAAGCATAAGGGGCTTGCCTCATAGAGAAAAATAGGTTTATTTTGTGTTGCTCTTTGGGGTCCTCCTGTACCAAATGTGCTATTACTACTCAGTTACAATGCAACGTTGTCCTTTGTGGGTCTTATGCTCCTTGATATTTCACCTTTCTCTGTTATCATTTCTAGTGTGATAGGTGCTGTAGAAACATTCTGGGCCTTGTTTTTCTAATAGCTCAGTTATCTATAAATAATTCTTCATAAAATCAGTTTCAAATGTGTTATTTGAAAACAATGAAAATTTTCATTATCTGTTTTTACAGTTATTCATAGTGAGATCAGACTCAGGCCTGTAGTTAGATAAACAATGTATGCAATGCGTATACGAGAACTCAGTGTTGGTAAATGGGATTCTGTAACAAAATCCCCAAATCCTCTTCCTGTTAAGTAAATATGTACCTAAAAAGAACTGGAGAGAGCGGTGCACTTGGTTTTTGAGTAGTTTGTAAGTGCTTGAGGCATGAACTGCCTTTTTTGTTCTGTGATTGCACAGCTCCTGGCACAAATAATAAATCACATACTTGTAAAATACTTTCAGCATCAGTTTTAGTCACCACTTAGAGGGTGACACTAACACACATTCCCAGTCCCAAATTTGCCCCCAAAATGTGTGTTCTGCACTTTCCAGTCCTTTTTTGGATTGTTCAGATATTTTAGTCTCAGAGGGGTAGTAGCTGTGTTAGTCTGTAACTTTAAAAACAATGACTTGTCCTGTGGCACCTTAGAGACTAACAAATTTTTATTTATTATATAATATAAAAATCATGAGCTTTTGTAGGCAAAAGCCACTGTCTCAGATAAGCTTGAGATATTTTAGATTTAGTGCCTCCATAAGGATCAGTATCCAGTAGTTGCTCAAACAATTCAGTTGGAATACAACATGATTTTAATTACAGAATAAAACATGTTTATTTAACAACAGAGAGAAAATTTGAGTAAAAATGAGGCCCTAAAGTCAGAAACAGTTACAAAATAAAGATAACTCTTTGTAGTGCCAAAAATTTAAACAAGCTAGAGTTGGCTTAAGGTCAATTCTTTACCACATATTCCTAGTGACAGGAATGACCAAACTTCTAGTCAGGATCCTTCCCACTGCCAGATGACTGTTGATGGGGGAGGGTGTTTGTCTTATTTGATGAAATGA